GCGCGGCCGCGTGGCCCTGGCCGACATCGCCTTCACGGGTGGCGGCAACATCGTGGTGGCCACGGCGGACGGCAGCAGCGCCTCGCCCGTGCAGTTCTACAAGGTGTGCGTGAGCGTGGTCAGCGAGAAGTGCCGCATCGACACCGAGATCCTGCCCTCGCTGTTCATGCGCTGCACCGCCGACCTCCACCGCAAGGACAAGTTCCCCGCCATCACCCACCTCAAGTTCCTGGCCCGCGACATGTCGGAGCAGGTGAGCGCCGGGGGCCTCACAGGGCTAAAGTCAAGGTGTGGGCAGGGCTGTGCCTCCTGTAGGTTCCAGGGCAGGACCCGTGTCCTCCTTTCCCAGCTTCTGGAGGCTCCTGCAGCCCTTGGTGCGTGGCCCCTTCCTCCATAGCGCAGCCTCTTCCAGTCTCTTTCTGCCTCTGACCCTCCTGCCCACTTTTATGAGGACCCTGTGAGGACACTGGGCCCTGGGTAATCCAGGATGACGTGCCATCTCAAGGTCCTTAATTCCATCCCATGTGCTGAGTCCCTTCTGCCATGGGAAGTGACATATCCACAGGTCCTGGAGGTCAGGACGGGGCTGTCTCTGGGGGCCATTATTCTGCCAGCCACAGCATAGTTGGATTGCCTTTCTAATCACAAATCAATGAGGCCCCAAACTTCTTGAAGCCCCTGATGTTTCCCTCTGTCCCTCTTCCTCCCCACTTTCCCGCCAGGGCGGCCACCGCTGTCCCGGGTGATGTTTGCAGAGGCAGTGTGGTGGGCGGTGAGTGTGGACTTAGGGACAGGCAGGCCTGGCTTGCGCGCCGCAGGTGCCACGTGAGCCCCAGTGGCCAGCTGAGGAGACAGAGGCCCAGAGGTGCAGTGGCCTGCCTGGAGTCATGGCTCACAGAGGGCAGAGCCCACCGTTGGAGCCCAGGGTTGGGGACAGTGGATGGCCCCGGGGTCCCGCCTCCTTACCCAGCCCCCCACCCCCGCCAGGTGCTCCTGTGTGCGTCCAGCCAGACAAGCAGCATCGTGGAGTGCTGGTCCCTGCGGAAGGAGGGGCTCCCCGTGAACAACATTTTCCAGCAGATCTCTCCCGTGGGTGAGTCGCCTTCCTGGGCACCCGGGTTTCAGTCCACCAAATGCGGGGAGCCATTCTGAGCGCTTTCCATTTCCTCTCCACACCCCACGGAGGCGGTGCTTTGTCATTACAGGTCAGCAGAGGGGGAAACTGAGGTTCAGAGAGGCGGAGTCGCTGGCCTGCAGTCACCCAGCAGGCAGACAGGCCGACTCGCAGTGGTAGCTCCTGTCACGGGATCCGCAAGTGCAAAGGTCCCAGGGCACAAGGCCGTGAGCCAAAGCAGGCGACAGGGCCAGGCAGGGAGGCACCTCACCCCAGAAGCCACGGAATCCTCCAGAAACCGTGGTTGAGTGTGAGGAAGCTGTTCACACGGCTGGTTTTCCGGGCCCCCTTCTCCCGCTCCCTCTGCCTGACGTGTACTGATGGCTCACTGACCGATGACAAAGAGTGGGTGGCAAGGGGGACCCACACCTGCATTCCCTTCCTCCAAAGAGCACATGCTCTGGAATTGTCCCGGCTCGGCCGGGACCCGCGACCATGACCGAAACCCCCAAGTGCCCACAGAGCCTGAAACAACCCAGGGAGCTAGAAGAGCCACTCGAGCTCCGTGGGGCCCTGGGGCCTGTCCACGTGCTGGTGCCCGCAGCCCCCACAGCCCGCTGGTCTCCAGAGCCTCTGCCCAGGAGAACGAGATGTTTTCCCAGCAGAGGAAGGCGACTGCTTTTTTCTGATTAGCACTAATGGACCCTGAAGTGGTCGTGCATTCAGGGCTCTAATCTAATGAAACTGTGTCATGAGGCCCCTCGGGGCTCCTGCTGGCCCGCGGTGGTCATGTAAACCGCCCATTGTGGCCTGCGGATTAATTAAAGTGGAGAGGGTCACCGCCACCCCTCCCTCCCACAGGCTGTGAGTCACCAGGGGTTTTGGGCTCCATTAGCTGGTTTGACAGCGGCTGGAGCCACCCCCCATGGCAGGCAGGGCTGTGAGGTTTGTGTTGGGGTCTCAGAGCAGCCCTGGGGGGCCCATGGGGCTGGGATGCCGACTCCCATGTCCTCCCTGTGATCTAGACAGACGCACCCAGGCTGCCTGACCTCTGAACCGCCTGCCCCCACCCTGACACGCCCCTCTCCCTCTTTCCCATCCTCCTTTAGACCCACAGCATTCAGCAACCCACAGCATTTCCAGGTGGACCCTCAGGTCCCTGCTCTGCCCCCCAGCACCCGCCATAGTCCAGCCCGTGGTCAGGGGCACAGTGAGTCCTGTGGGACCTCAGAGCCAGTTCTCCTTGACCAGCCGGGTGGACTCGGGCCCACGGCTCAGGCTGTCCCAGCCTGGAGCTCCCTTCCATAATTTAGAAATGGCGACCATAACCTAAAAGGGGTGTGTGCCGGCCGTAGACGCTCCCAGGGTGTTAGCTGTGTGTGATAGCGTCATGGCGCCCCGCTTCACTTGTTGCTGGAACTCTCTATTTCGCATCTTCCAGATTCCACAAATTTAGTCTACCCCTTCAGCACGTCACAAACCGGCCCTCGATTGTTCCCCTGGCGGGGCTGCCTCTGCAGCTGCTCCTCCTCAGTGTCCCAAGAGACCAGGATAACGCCTGTCCCTGCCTCTTGCTGCAAGGGGCTGCATCTTCCCTCTGGGTGTGGGGTGGGAGGGGCAGGTCTGTGGTCACTGCACCCAGCCCCGCAGCCTCGTTGGCAGGGGAGAGCCGGGCCCCACCCAGGACCTAGTAGATGAGGAGGAGCAGAAAGCTCAACTCAGGCTGGCTGGGTCAGGAGGGGAATTCCGGGCTTGGCTCTGCCATGGGGACAAGATGGCCCCACCACTGCCACCCCAGTTTCCATAAAATCCCAGGGCAGAATCCCATTGGCCCACCTTGGGTCCCGTGCCTGTCCTCGGGCATGGAGCGCTCTGATCGGCCAGGCTGGAGTCTTTTTCCTGGACTGACAGTAGGGCTGGGCGACCTGGGAAGGGCCGCTGGGCGGTCACAGTCTGCCAGCCCTGCAGGGCTCACTGTGATTGAGGTTTTCAGTCTCATCTTCATTCCCTCCCCTTCCCGTGTTCCTGCCCCCGATTTCCCAGTTGGTGAAAAGCAGCCCATGATCCTCAAATGGCGGATCCTGTCAGCCACCAACGACCTGGACCGTGTGTCAGCCGTGGCACTACCAAAGCTGCCTATCTCGCTCACCAACATCGACCTCAAGGTGGCCAGCGACACCCAGTTCTACCCCGGCCTCGGTATGGCTGACCCCTGGGGCAGTCGGCACAGCCTCTTGGGTCACACTAGGGGAGGTGGGCTCTGAGCCTGGGCCTGAGGGCTGGGGGAGTGCGGCTGCCTGGCTTCAAGGTGGGCCCCACTTTCAGGATCCGGTGAGCTCAGGGGTTGTGAGGCCGGCTGACAGAAAGCTGTGTCCTTTAACATGGAAAGAGCTGTTACAAATCAATAAGGGAGAGGTTGGGAACTTGGGGGCAAAAATTCCCTTCTGGATAAGTGCCCCCCCCACACACACACCTGTTGTAGCAACAGTGATGCGGGCCCTGGCTTCAGATCCTGGTGCCCACGCCCACGTGCACCCGGGGCTTGCCCTCCCATGCCGAGCCTCAGTTCATTCAGCTGTAGTGTGGGGATGCGCCCACCCTCATGCAGGCCCGAAACGTCCCCCAGCTCTCGTTCTGCTCCAGTTCTCTGGAAAGGACATTTATCCAGATCCACGCCAGGCTCAGGGGCTCTTCTTTGGAACCCGCAGAGGGTGGACGTGGACACACGGTTCCCCTGCTGTTCTGTCCTGTCCCTGAGTCCTGGGGCTCTGCACTCCACGTGCATTCTTGGAGATGAGACACCAGCATGACTATTGGCAGGTTACTTGGTTTCCTCGAAGCCTTGGCAACAGCCGATGGTCGGACCCCCACCACCACCCATGGACTCCTCACTTTGGGGCTCCAGGAGCCCCTGCCCCTGGGGTGGCTCACCTCTCCTGACCTCGCCAACCCTGCTGCACCATGAAGCCCTTGTGTGTGGTCCCTGGGCAGTCAAGGGGCTCCCAGGCCTCCTCCACCTGGAATGCCACCCCCACCTTGCCACCCAGAAGGTGCACGTCAGCCAAGACCAGCCCTGGCTGCAGGGGGCTGGGAGAGACAGCCTGCAGTTGATGACCACCCCTGACTTTCGGGGGTCCTGTCACTAAACGAAGAAGACAGCAGCCAGCTGTGGGGTGTGCGGGTGGGACACCTGGGGGGTGGGCTCACATCCTGCCCCAAATGGGCAGTCTCTGCTCGGCGTCAGTGGACACATCCCGTCATCCAGAGCTGGGCCGTCCCTGCAGCTGCTGGTGGGCAGGCCCCAGGCCTTCCCCCACCCTGACCCCATGCTCCTGTCCGCCCCCCACCACCCAGGGCTGGCCTTGGCCTTCCACGATGGCAGCGTCCACATCGTGCACCGGCTTTCACTGCAGACCATGGCCTTCTACAGCTCTGCCACCCCACGGTCCGTGGACGAGCCAGCCATCAAGCGTACTCGGACCACAGGCCCCACTGTCCACTTTAAGGCTATGCAGCTCTCCTGGACCTCCCTGGCCCTTGTGGGCATCGACAACCATGGGAAGGTAAGTGCCATTCCGTGCACTTCCAAAGCCAGGCAGAGACTGGGACAATTCCAGAGCGTGTGCTCTTTGGAGGAAGGGAATGCAGGTGTGGGTCCCCCTTGCCACCCACTCTTTGTCATCGGTCAGTGAGTCACTCAACCTCTGGACCCATCTTTGCTGGTCTTTAAAATGGGATTAATGTTGCTCCATGAGATACTGTAGAAGAGCCCTAGTGTGGTTTGTGGTGCACGGTAGCCACAGTGGCAGCCACCCAGCAGGACACGCACAGTGTCAGCTGAGCACAGTGGCAGCCACCTAGCAGGACACGCACAGTGGCAGCTGAGCACAGTGGCAGCCACCTAGCAGGACACGCACAGTGTCAGCTGAGCACAGTGGCAGCCACCTAGCAGGACACATACAGTATAAGCTGAGCACAGTGGTAGCCACTTAGCAGGACATACACAGTGTAAGCTGAGCACAGCACCTGGCATGTCATAGGTCTGCTCACATGCCTGTACGTGGCTGGGTCTCCCTGCTGGCCTGGGTGGGCACAGAGCTGCCCTGTGGTTCCCATCTGCCATCACTGGTGGACATGTCTAAAACCCCCTTGCCCCCTACGTCCTCAGCGTCTCCCTCTGACAGGCCTCAAATCCGTGACGGGCTTAGCTCCCCCAGAGAATAACGTCTGTCTCTGCTGTGGCCCCACGGCCCCCAGGAGTGGGTTGTGCCCATCGCCCCAAAGGTGTAGTGAGGCCTCTTAAGCCACGTGAGGGAGATGTAGCTGTGAGCCAGGCTCCAGCAAGACCCTCTTACCGTGTGTCAGCCTCTGCCATGCCCCACATGTGCCCAGACTCTGACCCTTCAACCCACCCGTGTAACAGAGGGAACGCCTGGTGCTAGAGCCACCAGCTCCTGAGTGCCCGTGGGGCTGTGACCCCATGTCCCTCCGGTCCTCAGACCCAGGCTCTCCAGGGCTCCCACCCCCGCCTGTATGTGCACCTCTAGCCCCAGAACACACCTGCATCTCTGTGGCCTCACCTGGCTGTGGTCCTCCCCTCCTGGGCAGCTGAGCATGATCCGCATCTCGCCCTCCATGGGCCACGCGGTGGACATCAACCCGGCCCTGCGGCATCTGCTCTTCCTGCTTGAGTACTGCATGGTGACCGGCTATGACTGGTGGGACATCCTGCTGCACGTGCAGCCCAGCATGGTGCAGAACCTGGTGGAGAAGCTTCACGAGGAGTACATGCGCCAGAACGCTGCCCTGCAGCAGGTGAGGCTGCATGCACAGGGGGTGCTGCACCGTGGCTCTGCCCAGCCAGGCAGCACCGAGGAGACAGCCTTTCCCTGCTTTTCTTCTAAATTAGTTCTTAACCTTGAAAGTTTCCATATAAAAATATACAGGTGGGATTTGAATCCACTTGACCCCCAACCCCTCCCTGCTCCCAGTTTGGTCTTTTCAAATGGTTTTCTCAGAGTGGACACGGGTCCAAAGGAGGCACTGGCCAGTGCCATAAGATAAGTCAACAGAGGTTTAAAGATCAGAAAAAAAGAGAGAAAAGTTGTCATTCAGACGATGGGATCGCGTGCCTATAAAACCGAAAGCACCTGCGATGGACTGTTGAATCTCACAAGATCAGCAGGGTGGCCATAAGTGAGATCAGTAGTTTAAAAAATCAGTGGTTTAAAAAGAAAAAAGAAACCAGTGGTTTTCCTATAGACCAGCAATATCCAAAAAGGGTAAAATGGGGGGGAAATCCCATTTGTAATAGCAGCCTGCTAAGAAACGTGTAAGACTGTTACGGAGGACGCTGGGACTCACAGCTGATGATAGCATCACTGGCAGTGAGAAAGTCTCTCACTTCCGGGGCCCCAGCTGAGTGCCAAGCATTTTTATGGAATCCCATTTGTAATAGCAGCCTGCTAAGAAACGTGTAAGACTGTTACGGAGGACGCTGGGACTCACAGCTGATGATAGCGTCACTGGCAGTGAGAAAGTCTCTCACTTCCGGGGCCCCAGCTGAGTGCCAAGCATTTTTATGTCATTCAGTGTTCCCCACCAGACCAGGTCTCTGCCCCTCAGCACTGTGGACACTTTGGATCATTCTCTGTGGTGGGGTCGTCCTGGGCTCTGCAGGGTGCTGAGCAGTGTCGCCAGCCTCCACCCACTCCATGACAACTAAAATTGTCCCCAGACATCACCGAGTGTCCCCCAGGGCAGAACTGCCAGGTGGAGACCCACTGCCCCAGCCCTGTGAGCTGGGTCTCTTAATCTCCCGTCTTGCCATAAGGATAGTCAGCACAGAGAGGTTAAGAAGCTTGCCCAAGCCTGCCCAGCGAGCGTGTCGCAGCTGAGTCACTCATAGCGCTTTGGCAAATGCCAAAAGTGTCCCCCGCCCGCCTGGCCCTCCGTTCATGCTGTCCCCCCCCGCAGGTCCTCTCCACGCGGATCCTGGCCATGAAGGCCTCGCTGTGCAAGCTGTCACCCTGCACAGTGACCCGCGTGTGCGACTACCACACCAAGCTCTTCCTCATCGCCATCAGCTCCACGCTCAAGTCCCTCCTGCGCCCGCACATCCTCAACACCCCCGACAAGAGCCCTGGCGACCGGCTGAGCGAGATCTGCGCCAAGATCACCGATGTTGGTGCGTCCCCACCACACAGCCAGCCCCACAGCTGGACTCTTGTGGCTCCTTTTCCTTCCCCGTCTGCAAAAGTGACCTAGGCTCCTGGTAGAGAATTGACCAAACCTGAGGATAGGCACACGCTGAGGACCCCTGCTGACGAAAACAGGCAGACCTCACGGGGCCCCGGAAGGCAGATTTGGGGGCACAGCCACGGGCCACATGGGAGCCACTCTTCTTGGTTTTTGCTTTTAAAAAGTTAGGTGTGTCACTTATGTTTACAGTATTCATTTTATTTGTAGAGTCGTGGACAGACGATGTTGAAACCTGGAGAAGGGGACATTTCCCCTCTCTGGGTGGCCATGAGATTTTCTGTCCAAACGGGCACACTCCACAGTAAAAATGGGCGCTATTTGTAATGATGCTGAAGGGGCAGGCTGATTAGCACAGCTGGTTAGAGCGGGGCATTGGTAACAAACACCAGGGTTAAGGGTTCGATCCCCGTACCGGCCAGCCACCAAAAAAAAATAATAATGATAATGACGCTGTGACAACAGGCACCGAAGGGGCTGTCCCAGGCAGGTTCGGTGGGCTGTCCCGGGAACCTCTCCCTTCATCTGAGGCCCGTCTGTGCCCTGCCCTGTGTACACCCTCGCAGGTGTCTCTGCACTCAGGCTTTTTTCTGTGCACGTGGGCATCCCCCACCCTCCACATACACACACACCAGCTCCCCGATTGCAGACAGCCTAATCACGCAGGAAGTTCACGATACAGATGGGACGTGTCGTGAAAGGAAGGTGACCCGACTCTTCCTCGCGGCACTGACTCATTTCGTGGTGCCTTTTCGTTGTTGTGTACTAGTCCCGTCCACGGGTGTGCAGTTGTCCATGCAGCAGACCCTGCTGCCACCCGTTGGCTGTCCGACCATCACCACACAGACCATCCTAATGTCTGAGACCCATGTGCTGGCTCGTGATAGTTTTTGTAGGACCGTCATAAATGCAATCCCAGAAGTATCTGTTGGGTGTCTAACAGGTGCCAAGCACTGGTGGGGGTGGTTATGCTGAGCGAGGTGGATGGTCCCTGCCCTCCCGGAGCCCACCCTGTTCCTGGCAGAGGGACCTGCTCAGGCAGGACCCCAGGTGGGCAGGCAGTGGCTCCGTGGTTCCCCTCCATCCAGCCCTTCCCGTCCCCCGCATCCCCATCCAGGGTCAGCACGGTGGGCGCTCAGCCCGAGCAGGTGGCAGGACGCGGGTGCGGGGTGCATTCGGGCCCTGTGCGCAGCGTGTGCACACGCGTGAGGTCCCAGCCCCCTGACCGCCCATGTACTTGCAGACATTGACAAGGTCATGATCAACCTCAAGACGGAGGAGTTCGTCCTGGACATGAACACGCTGCAGGCGCTGCAGCAGCTCCTGCAGTGGGTGGGCGACTTCGTGCTCTACCTGCTGGCCAGCCTGCCCAACCAGGTGCGGCCCAGCCCCGCCCCCAGCCAAAGCCCCTCCTCCCTGGCTTTTCTCATCTGGCCCCACCCCTCCCCTTTTCGCTTCCCTGTCCCCAGGCCGTCCCTGACTTGGGTTCCAGTCCCAGTGGCCCCAGCAGATGACTTTCTGCCCTCCATGGTGCTGGAGGTCGCAGGAGCTCTCTTCTCCCGCCACCTCCTGGCTCCAGAGGCAAACCAGGTGCTTCGGTCTCTGGATCCTGAGACACAGGAGCTCGCCTCAGCCGGGGTCTCCCCAGGGCACTATGGACACTGGGGCTGGGTCCTTCTCCGTGGTGGGCAGTGCTGGGCCCTGCGGGAGCTGGCAGTGTCCCTGCTTTCACTCCATATCAGGAGCATCCCCCAGTGGTGACAACCACACGTCCCCAGATATCGCCCAGTGTCCCCTGGAGCAGGATCGTCCCCAGGTTAGGGATCCCACAGATCCCCTAGGAAGCTGCACGCACGTCTGCATCCGCACACTGAGCATCTCTCTCTAGGGCTCCCCGCTGCGGCCTGGCCACAGTTTCCTGCGAGATGGCACCTCGCTGGGCATGCTGCGTGAGATGATGGTAGTGATCCGCATCTGGGGCCTGCTGAAGCCTAGCTGCCTGCCCGTGTACACGGCCACCTCGGACACCCAGGATAGCATGTCCTTGCTCTTCCGCCTGCTCACCAAGCTCTGGCTCTGCTGTGAGACGCCCCGTCCTCTGCTCCCATCACCCCATCAAAATGCAAGCCCCCTGGGCACCCCCACCAGAATACAAGTTCCCGCAGGTGGAAACCGCTCTGTCTCGGTCCCCTCCATTTCCTCAGCGCCTAGCACAGGTCCGGGCACATAGTGGGTGCTTGTTGGGTGTCAACAGGTTACATGTTTTGGGGGGGCCAAGTACTGAGCTAGCATCTTTGTGTCCAGGAATCAATGAGCAGGTCCCCATTTTACAGAGGAGGCAACTGAGGCCAGGGAGGAGAACATGACTTCCCAGAGTCACCCAGCAAGGCAGGGCAAGAACTAGTGCCCTGTGGGTCCTGAGGAGGCCACGGTGCATCCCAGGTAGGTGGGCGATGCTCTGGGTGGGGCCTCTGAACCGATATCCCCTCTGTCTGCTACCCACAGGCCGTGAGGAGGGCCCGGCAAGTGAGCCGGACGAGGCCCTGGTGGACGAGTGCTGCCTGCTGCCCAGCCAGCTGCTCATCCCCAGCCTGGACTGGCTGCCCGCCAGCGACGGCCTCATCAGCCGCTTGCAGCCCAAGCAGCCCCTGCGGCTGCAGTTTGGCAGGGCGCCCACCCTGCTGGGCAGTGCTGCCACCCTGCAGCTGGACGGCCTCGTCAGGTGTGTGCCCGCAGCTCTGCTCTGGGGCTTTAGTAAGGCTGTTTCCTTCTAGATGGTTCTCCCCCAAACCTGCCTGACTCCCTGCTTTGCGCCTTGCCCCAGGGCCTTTGCATGGGCTGTGTCTGCTGCTCCTTCCAGGCTCAGCCTACACGCCGCCCCAAGAGGTGTCTTTGCTCAGCCCATGACCCCTCCACCCTCCAGCACCTCGTCACTTCCTCTTATCTACTTAACTTGGTTTTTCCTGACTTGCATACCCACTCAGCTCCCTGCCCCTGCAGAAGTCAGGGCCCCCATAAATCCCATCACTGGCATAGACCCTCTGGTGCAGTCCCAAGGCCACAGGTGAACCAAGACGCCCCTCATCAGGCAGGATGTTCCCAAGGGCTTAGACGGCACCTCCCAGGGGTCCCAGCCTATCTCTGGACCCTGCAGGATTTGCACAGTCCAGGCCTGCTGAGTTCACCCTTTAGTGCAGGGCAGCGCTGTGGGCTGGGATTTCTGGAAACCGTGCCTTTCTGAGGTCACTCCTCTGAGGTCACCTAGCCAGGAAGGGGCCGGGCTAGGGTTTGAACCCAGAACCTGTCCGATTCCCCCCACCCCCGTGCCCACCCATTTGAGACACTCATTTGTTGGAAGTACATGTGAATTCCCTACATAGTTGATTACCTCGGGTTGAAGTTGTAGCAGAAGCAGGTGAACAAAAACAAGAAACTTAACATCCCTGCAGCTCTGCCTCCAAGGCAAGCTGCTCCCAGACCTTCCAGCATTTTCTTCTGCTCATGGCGGGAGGCCTGATGAATCACAGACTGTGGTTTGGGTTTCAGATTTTATGAAAAGAGGGGGCTGGTCACAGAAGGTTTTAAACTTTTGTTTTTGGAAAAATTCAAACATTTTTAATAACGGCCTGGCGGTTAGCTCCGTTGGTTAGAGTGCAGTGTCATGACACCAAGGTCAAGGGTTCAGATCCCTGTGCAGGCCAGCCACAAACAAAACAAAACAAAATAATCAAATACATTGCATTAACAGCATAATAAACCGTCCTGCCCCGGCCTGGCCCCCCAGGTCCCTTTCCACTGGCAGCTTCTGCCACCCAGAGGTTCCAGTGCCTTCCAGGTGGCTGTGTGTGTGGGCAGAGGCTAGAAACACCCACATGACACACAGTCTCTCGTGTCCGACCTCAGACGAATGCGTCACAAATGCACTGCTCTGTGCCTTGGGTCTCCCGCACATCTCAGTCTGTGTGGGCACGTTCAGCCCGGTCTCTTTACAGGACCCCGCCGTAAGGACTCACCTCAGTGTATCTGTGCCTTTCCACCACGGGCACAGTTTGTGTGGGCTCTATTTTTTTATTTTTTGTTTTGTTTTGGTGGCTGGCTGGCATGGGGACCTGACCCCTGGACCTTGCTGTTATCAGCACTGCGCTCCACCCAGCTGAGCTCACAGCCAGCCCTTCTGTCATCACGAAAACAGGACTGTTCCATCGCATTGTCGTGGTCCTCTCTGCCCTTCTTGCCCGTCGTTCCATGTCATTCCATGTCGTTCCGTGTCAGTCTGTGTTAGCTGCTGTGCCTTGGCCTACCCTTCAGATGGTTCTGGATGCCCTGGGCGCCATCCACTCGAGGGGCATCTGGCATCTGGCTCTGACAAGCCTTTTCACACTTGCAGACTGGCTGACTGTGGGAGGACACTGGCTGTCCACCCACGGACAGATGCTCCCACCCATGCCCACCCGCAGCGCTGGGTCCCCTCTCACACCACCCCCTCTGTCCACCAGGGCACCAGGCCAGCCCAAGATGGACCACCTGCGGAGGCTGCACTTGGGAGCCTACCCCACGGAGGAGTGCAAAGCCTGTACCAGGTGAGCCGCCTCCGGGACCTCTGAGCCTCAGTTTCCATGCCTGTAAACTGGGCCATCTGTAAACCTCCCTCTGGGGGCTGCCAACAGATGAAACCAGGTGGTCTCTGTAAGGTCCAAGGTGGTCCCAAGAAGTCTTGTGTGTCCTCTCCTGGGTGGTCAGACATGCTGAGGTACAGGTGACCCATGTGGCCTGCACCTGCCCTCATGGAGCTCCCAGTAACCCAGGTGCAGAAATGAAGTCACTTCCACAGTAGCACATGGCGCCACCACTACACAATCAGGTTCTGACATGTCTCCATGAAACCGAGGCGCACGGAGGCCTCGTGATCCCCCAGGGTGCCACCACTAGGGAGTGGCCAAGTCAGGACTCAGCCCCAATTACTCCTCACAGTCGGGGGGGTGAGGGACCCACCTGGAGTGGTTGGTGCCTGAGCCAGGAGCAGGAGGATGTGGAGACATTAACCTGGTGTGGTGGGGGATGGTGCAGGGAACAGTGTTTCCAGTGGGGGAACAGCGTGTGCAAAGTGGTGGTAGGGGAGGAGGCCCCACCCAGTGCCCCCGCCCCGCTGGGCTTTCCCCACAGATGTGGTTGTGTCACCATGATCAAGTCACCCAACAAGACGACGGCCGTCAAACAGTGGGAGCAGCGCTGGATTAAGAACTGCCTGTGCGGGGGGCTCTGGCGGCGGCTCGCTGGGCTTTCCCCACAGATGTGGCTGTGTCACCATGATCAAGTCACCCAACAAGACGACGGCTGTCAAACAGTGGGAGCAGCGCTGGATTAAGAACTGCCTGTGCGGGGGGCTCTGGCGGCGGCTGCCCCTCAGCTACCCCTGACCAGGAGCCGCAGGCCCGCGCAGTGCATAGATCCCTGATGGGTTATACGACGCTCGCCCATGACAGAACATCCCACACACTGTGGACATCTATCGGGTGTGTTAAAACAGCCTATCCCCAAAGCAGGCCTCTTGGAGGCACTTGGCAGAGCCAGAGCCTGGGGCCTCCATAACTGGAGTCGCCTCGGCCCAGCAAGCCTGGGATTTTTCCATCACAGGGCAGTGGCCCATGCGCCACCCTCCAGGGACCCCCAGTGGTGTGTGCACAGTGACCGAGGTCCCAGCTCGGGGGTCCAGGACAGCTGGGGGTCCCATGTGAATCATCAGGGGTGCTGCAGATGACACCGCCCTGGGGCACCTGCCTCAGTTTCCTCACCTGTGCCTGTGGAGGTGGTTCTGAGCCTGTCACCCTTGGCCGGGAAGGATGGACCCAATAAACGGCCCCATGCACCCCCGGCCTGTGTCACCATCATGGGCACCACCACCCAGAGCAGGTCCAGCCCCCCTGAGGCTGTGCCTCATCCCCCAGGTCCCATCACTGTGATCTCTGCACCAGCCATGTGTGTCTCTTGATGTCAGTCAGTCAGCAGTTAGGGAGCGCCTAGTGTATGCCAAGCCCAGGGTGTGGGCACTGAGTGGTGGCTGGGCAGCCTTGCCTCTCCACGTGTGTCTCTGCCTGTGTTTGTGTCTTTCTCCAGCCCCACCCCCACACACCCGAGCACTCAGACCCGAAGCCCTGGTTTCTGCCAGCTCAGTCCTCATCCCCCAGGGGTCCCGCCTTCTGTCCCTGACAAGTGCTTTGACGCTTCCCCACTGGCCCCGAGGTGGGAGGGCTGTGGCAGACACAGCACCCGCCTGTCACGTGCCAGTTGGCTTGCTGGTTTTGCTCCTGCCAGGCTGTCAGAGGGCAGGCTGGCGGCGCCCCGCGAGGCAGACACTGTGGCTGCCCACGGCCAGAGCCAGGGAGCCCCATCACCTGGGCCAGGGAGAGGGGGGAGCCTAGGAGGGGCCTCCACTTTAAAACCCGCCTGCCCACGGCTGCAGGACTCAGTGGTGCCCGGGTCCCTGTTGTCCGAGTTGCTGGGTCTGTGGTGGCCAAGGCAGGGAGCTCCGGTCTCACCTCCCACCTGGGCTGCTGGCGCCCACCGCCCTCTTAGTGTCTTGGCGCGTCCGGATGAGCCACGGAGGCCCGTCTTCAGCTGCTAAGAGAAAACACGTGGACGTGGACGCGTCTGTGCAAACCTCGTGATCTTTTCTGTTTGTGTTTTGGCGGCGGCTGGGACAAGGATCGAACCCTGGACTTGTGTTAGCAGCACCACGCTCTAACCACTGAGCAGCCGTCCAGTCCACAGACCTTTTGTTCTAACTCAACATGTAGGGACACAGGTTCGAGGGCAGTGAGGACCTCAGAGTTTGGCCGGGTCCTTCCCACCCAAACCGCAACCATAACTCTCGGCCTCTCTGTCATCTGCTTGGGCAAGCCAGGCGGAGAGTCCCAGGCACGCCCTTCCCGCCTCCTGCAAATTTTTCCTGGGCCTTTTATGATCACGTCGCCCGTGCCTCATTTGACTTTTTTTTTTAAAAGCCATTTCCATTATCGAGTCTCTGGATTAAGTTAATTGTATTAAAAAATGAGGCTGTTTCCTTATGCTTGTATTTCATCGATTTAGGTTCAGTTCCTTGTGGCGGTTTCACAACTTGGCCACTGGTCTTTCACAACTTGGCCACTGGTCTTTCCTCTCGAAACCTACTGAGAGGATGTCTGGGTCCCCTCCCCTTGAATCTGGGCAGGCAGCAGGTGGCCTTCCAGGCTGGTTGGAAACAGCCTTGCTCCTGAGCCACTGTGCCAGGAGGCCACGTGTGATCGCTCAGCTGCCAGACCTGCTGAGTCCTGCCTGGGAGTGACCTCAGCCCAGGTGCCCAACACACAAGTGAAGACTCCTCCAGCCCCTGCAGTTCGGATCACTCCCAGCTGAGGCCTGGACAGGGTGGAGCAGAGACAAGTCACCCCTGTGCCCACTTAACTCCTGACCTCAGACATTGAGCATGGCGCACTGAGGGGCTTCATGCTGCTAAGTCTGGGGGAGTTGTTCTGCAACCGTGGAAGCTGGAACATTCTTTCAGTTGCTGTAACCAGCCTGACTGCCTTGGGCACAGGGCCCATCTGGGGAGGGCATACGTGGGGAGGCCCACAGTGGGTCTAGTGGAGCTACTACTGGAGTGTCCTCCAAGGGTCACGAGGGCATGTGGACCACGGGGCTTCTGCACAGTTCCCACCTCTGGGACAAAAACAGCAAAGTGTGCTGTGTGTCCCCGGATTAAATTCTCAACCTCTTTAAGAGTAGGGATGTTTGGGGCCTTATGTTACAGATGAGGAAACCGAGGCCATATAGCAGTGCAAATGTTTGGACTGGCGACTCCCAGGCTCAGATGTTTCGTGCATTGTTTGGATTTTGTGCTCACGACGTTCCCAGGCTCCACCCTCCACCCTCCACCTCCTTCTAAACCATCTCCTCCTCCAGAACCCTCTGTGGCTCCCACTGGCTGAAAATGCCCAGGGGTCTTAGAGCTGGAAGGGCCAGACACACCACACCCCACCCCTGACCCAGGCCACTGGTGGCTCCACCAGTCCCCTGTGGTGCACGGTGAGATTATTTCCAACCCAACCTCCCACAAGCAGGCTGACCACACTTATTTGCACCTGAGAACTAATACATCTGGGGAAATTGCTAGAAACAGCTGTGCCGGGTCAAAGGGCTCTCAGTCCACACACTTCTGAGTTTCCGGTTTTGTTTGTTGGCAGTTGTCTGGTATGGAGATGGAACCCTGGACCATGTTATCAGCACCATGCTCTAACCAAGCGAGCTAACCCAGCCCTGAGTTACTGTTTTGATTGCAAAAGCCTCCTGCCTTGGAGATAATAAAACAGGATTTAGTATTTAAACACACCTCCCGCCGGGCCTTTACCCAAGGTGTGCCTCCCGCCTGGAAATCCTTCCAACGCTTTTCTGTTGACAAACCCACATCTGCCCCAGGCCACATCTCCCTTCCACCCCGCCATCCCCCAGGCCCTGTTCTGATCTGCCCCCACCCCAGCACTGCCAGATAAAGTCCCGTTAAATTAAAATGTCACATAAACAATGAATACTTTTTTAGTGTATGTCCCAAATACCACATGGGATATATTTATAAATTATAAAAAGAATGTATTGTTTATCTGAAATTTAACTGGACATCTTTATTTGCTAAATCTGGTAATCCTACCCCCTTCCCCCGAATTGGATCATTTTGAAGCCACTCCCTGGCATCATTTCACTCAGGAAATTCCTAAACAATGAGTGAATCTTTGATGGCTGAATTACCAACAATTATGTTTCCACTTCCCCTCTTATTTAAACGTTGTAAAACGTTTACAATTACATATGAAATTCATGAACACACTGAGGACAACCTCATGCCAGTCACGGATGGCTAAAGAAATGACATTCCATGCGATGGAGTATTTGACCAAGTTCCTTACAAGTAGCAGGGCTGGGTCTTAGCTGCGCCCACAGCGCCCAGCCCAGGGCCTGGCACTCAGCAGGTGTTCAGCAGATGCTTGTGCATGAATGTGATTCCAAGGTGAACATCCCATAGTACACAAAGGAAAACCCAGGCACAGCCTCCAATTCCACCTCCCCGTTTCCCAGTGGGGTGCATGGCTTCACCTCTCAGACCCTCAGTCTCTTTTTCAGCAAAAGGGAGGCCACGAATCCCCCCTTTGTGGGCCAGGGTGATGCCTAGCACCTAGTAGGTCCTGGGCCTTCAATGTCCTTCCTCCAGGTAAGAGAAAGGGCACAGGGTCTCGGAGCCCAGAGGGGTGGCCTGAGATCCCTGGGGGCAGCGAGTCAGCCGGGACCCCAGCAGGTGTAGCTGCTCTGGGATACCCGTCAACTGCCCTCATTCTGTGAACCCGGCAGCACATGGGGGCAGCTTAGAAACGCAGGCACCGCGGCTCTGGGTTCGAATCCGACGCTTGTCCTGGAGCGTCTGTTTTATCTCAGGAAAGTCACTCAGCCTCTCTAAGCCTCAGTTTCCCCTCTTGGGACAAATGTCCTACGAGCACAACTTCCCGGGTCTAAATCTCAGCCTGGAACGGAGTCGTACACAAAGTAGGCCCTCACGTTCCACTTGGGAAGCAAACGGAGAGCCGCCCATTATCCAGACCAAGAGGGGACACCCTCCCGCACCCCACCCGCGGGCCCCTCCTCGGAATTCCAGGGAAGGGCGAGGGCGCCACCGTGTGGCCGGGTCGTGACACGACCCCCGTCGGCTGCCCCCGGGTCTCCGGGCTTTGGCTCCGGGCCCCCCGCCAGGTGCGCGGTCCCCGCGTCTCAGCCTCGGCCCCTGCCCGCCCTGTACTATCCCTCCCTGCGCTTTTACGCGTCCTTGTGAATTCTCGCTGCCCCCCGGTCTGGGTCGCCCCCGTCGTGCTTAATGAAGACTGGCCGATGCAGGACTGAACGGCTTTATTGCTCTGCACCCCCCGCCGCGACCGCCACCTTCCGGTCATCCTCAGGCCGCCGCGTCCCCGGCCATGACGCCGTCCATCCAGGGCACGTAGCTCGCCACGCGCGTGTAGATACCGGGCTTCTTGCGGTTGCCGCAGA